AAGGTCCAAAATACATCATACATGCCTAGAAAATCTGAAAATAGAAAATCTGAAAATACCCAAGCTAAAAAGCTGAGATTTATATAACAATGAAGTATCCAAATGCTTAGCCCAAAACCATTGCTGGAGGGTCTGATTAATAGCAGCCATAATATTTTCCTTCGAAAACCTAGCCTGAGCCAAAATGCAGGAGTTGTATGCCTTCCAAATGTTCCAGATCAGCAGCCCAGGAAGAATAAACCTCACATTGCCCAAAATGCTCTTCTTGTTAGAAGAAAACCACCAACTTAACAGCACCTGCTGCAAAGAGGGAGGGGCAGCTGAAAAGGGAGCCTTGGCAGCATCTGCATAAGCTTTCCAAAGACCAGAGATCTCCCTGCAGTAAACGAAAACGTGATGATCATCCACATTACTCTCCTTGCAAAAAGGGCAGGTAGCATCCACCAGGACCTGGAATTTCTGTAAATGACATGGTAAGGATTTAAATACTACTCCCTCCGTCCCATTTTATAACGCCTGTTTCGGTTTACGATGTTTGACTGAAGTTGTTTTCAAATCATTTTATATGACAAATGGTATAGAATTAAAAAATAAAAACTACATATCAAAATTCTACATCAAAAGATTTATAAAACTAGTAGTGACAACAATATTTTATTTTATCAATTTTCTAACGAAAATAAAGAAAGAAAGTGAATGAAGTTTGACCCTGTGAATAGTGAACAGGCATTATAATTTGGGACGGAGGGAGTAACCATTTATATTAAACATGTACCATTTCGGATGTGCTTTTAATACTTAAACAATTTTACATTATGATTAATTTTCATATCACTATAATTTCAGATGATTTATAATAAAAAAATTACACGGAAATATCCACATGCATTAAATTGTGCAATAAATTTTGTATTATTACCAATTTAAATGGTGTAGTGTTACTTACCAAATGGAAAATATTTGTTATAGTATTTTATTGGAAAGATTAATAGAAAGATTAATATTTACAAATATACCATCTCCAACAGTGCTCTTAGAATGGTAAGTACTGGCTATTTATTGTATATGCTCTTAAAAATTTTAAAATACTGTTCAATTAAATAAAATGGTAAGTATTTAAATACTATCCATTTATATTAAACCGTAAGAAATTGTTTTAAATACCTGTCAAATAAAATAAGATGGTAAGCATTCAAATTTAGAATACCCATCAAATTAATTAAAATGGTAAGGAATTAAATACTATCCATTTATGTTATACATGAACCATTTCTTAGGTGCATTTAAAAATTTAGAGATACTGTTCAATTAATTATATATCTTGGATAATCAATAATATTATTGTTGATTCGCTTATTTTTAGTAACAGATTCGTTATATCTAGGATGGACACAATATTATTTTGAATTCCTTACTTATATATCTAACTGGAAATGACTTAAATTGAACACTTTTATATCCAAATTTATAGAAACTCTTATATACTTGAGTCAAAATTCCTATTATATAAGGAGATATATAATGAGTTGATGAGTGTCGTCCACCCTCCATTTTCATTTTCTATTTCAATACATAGGCATTCAGAATCAATTATACAATAAAGAAGCGGAGATTTGTTGATTCAACTTCATCATTTTGTTTTTAAAAGGATTGGTGGTAGGAGCATCTTATTTTTCAATTTTAATTGGGGCTATGGAAAATCAAGTTGACGATACATGAAAGAGAACAACTAAAGATGCAAGAGAAAGGAGAAAAGGAATACTACAACAACAAAAAGTACATAGAAAAAGTATGTACTTTAAATATTGGTTTATCTTAATACATGTAATTTTGTTTTATTGTTTTAAGACAATTTGATACATAACATTTTGGAATTTTTTAAAATAAAAAAATTTAAATGGAATATTTTAGTTACCAGAATTTTTGTATTTAATTTTTATATGGATGCTTTTTAATGAGCATTACAAAAAAAGTTCTTATATTCATATCTAAATCATTAGTATAGATAAATTAAATTATATTAAACATATAAAGTTTTATACAAAATTTAAAATTAGATGTTAGTTTTAGAAGGATTTAACAAATTCTCCATGTGAAAATGAACACTCCCAAAATAAGATTACATAAAAATATGTGTACTTTTTTATATTATAATCGTGTTATTTTATCCATTATAATCTGCATCCGTATACGTCGTTCATAGGTTTCATAGGAATCCTAGATAATTAAAATATAAAATTGTTAATTTATCTATGTATGCATATGGCTAACTGATTGTTTTCTATCACTTTTATATCCACATCAATTGGAATAAAATGATGTCTAACCATGACTTTTTAATTTCATTTTTCTTTATTTTTAATGAAAAAAATTAGTTTATAGATATTGATTCTTTTGAACAATTGAATGGACAAAAATATATTAATAAGCTTGAGAAAAAATATATGCATATATTTTTACAATTTTAACAAAAAATTCAAAACTTCGCAATAAATTAGATATGAAATGGGTGAATATAAAAAATGTGAGCACATTTTTTAAAATAAAATGATAGGGAATGATGAATGTAAATAATTCAAAGTTCAAATATAAATTTTAAATTGAAAAATTTACTTACATCTAACACGTAATTCATTTATCAAAATAGAAACGAAGCTGTGTTCAACGGAAATAATTGATACTCTACACACACACACACACACACACACTCATAGTCAGACTCCTTATTTAACTAAATGACACTAAAACATAATGACTTTTCATAAATAGCTACATTTTTTTTATTGCGCAATATAACATTTTTAGTCATTATCAATTAGTCATTATTTAGGTAAATGTTCACCATCACAGAATATTAATTCTCCTTCTAGAAATTAATAAGTGTTATTTAATGGATAAAAAATGTAAGTCTTATCGTGGAAAATGACTTATGTTTTAGTATTATTTAGTATAGATATTTATCATAGTTATTGTTTCTACATTGCATTTCACAGAAAATACGTTTGGTGAAAATATATCTTCATTTAAAAAAATATTCACGATGATGAAATTAAATTTAAATATATTCATTATAAAAACACCTAATATTTACCTCCAAAAAAGGAAAACATTGTTTGATGTGAATAGTGGAAAAAATAGATTGATCATATCTATAGTCAACACCTTAAAAATAAACTAAATTTAAAATGAATTTAGATTTGGTCCAGAATACCTTATGATTTTTCTTAAGAGGTGATGTTTTATGTGAATGGCGGAAAAAATTTTATGGTTCATGTTTACAATTTTTTTCTGATAGATATTACAAGTACAGATAGAGAGGCATCGTCGTCAAGTGCAACGCCGCAAGGTGAAGCGCAAAGAAGAAGGAATATACTTTCTGATGTGACAAATGGTATTTGTAAATTTTAAATAAAAAATTTAATCATTCCATTTTTTAATTTGTGGAAGGTTTACTACTGAAGTAAAACGTCACACAACGTAATTTTAACAACTTTAAAATTTTATATGTACAATGCTTCAATCAGGGAATAATTGCANCTTCTAACCCTAAACCATATTCAGTTACTTCTGTCCAAAATCAACCTGTTTGCTCAGGAACAAGTCAACATTCTAAAACACGAAACAATTCAAAGAATCCAACCCAAGGATGATACTCTGTGAAAGTGCTACAAGGGCTCAAGGATGTATTGAATAATGTAGAAATCTTTTGTAAACAAGAAAATATCCTTGGATTTGTATCCCGAGAATATTTGTAACTGCTTGAATCTTCGTGTGTTGAACACTTTGCATAATAAAATCTTTCATTTAACCCATCTTTGAAGAAAATGTTTGACATTTACACGATGCATTCTGATGTTAAAAATAGATATTTTTCTGACTTGCACTGGCCATGCAACTTAGAATAATATTTATGGTTAACTCATTATGTTCATAGACAATATTAATTAACACAAATTCAACTGTAATTACATAAAGTAATATTACAAATGCAATTCTAAATCTAATCCCCTGGAATTTACAAACTGCTCATAATTAGCCCCAGGACCCGGAAAAGCTTTAGCAAACGCTAGCTTGTTTAATAGATCATCAATAAAGAAAGAAGAAATAAAAAGCTTCCTCTGACTAGAAGCCATGAAGTTCTGCCTTACACCATCATCTAGAAATTTGATTAAGTTATTAAAATAACCATCAATATTCAAGAGACCAATGGGTTTACTGTGCAACCCTTCGGATGCCCATGAGATCAAAGTGAACAAACCTTCCATAGTGTCAGCCCCTCCAGGAAGTACGATGAAGGCTTCCACAATGTGATTCATCTCGAAGTACTTATAGTACTTGCTGGAAACTGTGCATTCTGCTCCATACGTAGGTCCGTACACCTGTCGTGCCGCTATGTACCCTGAAATGAAGCCTCTAACTATACCACCATTGGTATAGACTGTTGAAGCAACAGCTCCTTGAAGGCCAACGTTGCCTCCACCATATGTAAGCCTAATTTTTCGACTTACCAATTCCCTTCCTAAATCTACCGCTGTAGCCATGAACTTCGGATTTCTACCGAGAGCATGACTACCAAGTAGACCAATGAATTTTATGGTGTAAGGAAACGTTTTAGAAGTTCCTTCCATAATATGAGAATGCGAGATACTCTTAGCACAATTGTGATATATATAGGCCCTGAAACCTGACCTTTGAGAAAAAGAGAAGTATCCTCAGCCGAATTTTGTACAGCAATGATGGAATCAGTTTACCTATTGACAATGACGTACTCGTCAATACTATAGTCTACTGATGATGTGACATATTGAGACTCATGAACATTTAGATTCGCTGTCCTGAAATACGTTCAAATCAGAGATGAAAAGTCAATATGGGCATTGCCCCAAAACAACGACCCCTTGAGTAACTTGATAGATCACGTAACGACGTATGGATAAAAGTTATCTCCAAATTTCTAACTATTCCTATCTTGACCCTTCTACAAAGGCTATTGAGGAACTTTTTCATCGAGAAAAGATTTCTGCTGATCAATGATGTACAAACGAGACTCGTGACTGAACAAAGCTAGGTGCAAATATGTCAAGTATACAATACTACACACTTTGAAGGAAACTTTTTAAAGGATCAGTAAATGCCTTGCTTAATTGATGTTTGTTAATCTCTCGAATGTTGAGCGAGTTAAGTGACATCAATGATTTGAGAATTGAGAATACGTATCTTCAAGATAAAGCGTAACCATGCAAACGTGACTTTGTCACGATTAATTATGAATACAACAAAAGTTGATTATGGACCTTAGAAGAATTTCGAGGACAAAATTCCTTTAAGGGGGAGAGAAATATAACGCCCCAAAATACACCCTAGAATTATTAATAAATAAATAATCAATAAATCAAATTTGTTTTGATTAAAAATAAATGTTTGTTGGGATTTGGGCCAAAATGAAATATGTTTGAATATTGAATATTACAATCAGGATAAGTGTCATAGAGATAAACCCAATTTGTTGACTATTTGTGTGGTCTTGATTGGGAACTTGAGTACAGACCCAAATCAAGAATAAATGAATAAATTATTTATGATGTGAACTTTGAAATGATTTATTGAAATAAATCATTAGAACAAATGATATGAATTAAATGTGAGAAACCTTTTTGAATAAAGATCAATTAAATCAATTTTGACTCTATCAAAGTCAAACATCCAAAAAAATATGATGTCAAAAAAAGTATAACGAATAAATATAAAAATTATATCGTTGGATAGAGTTTAACTGTCCGATCGCAACGGTGCAAACGGAATTCAATTCTGAGAAAGTTGGACCAAAAAGTGTACCCCGACTGGAACCAAATTGGTCAGGGACACTGTGTGAACGGCGCCTCCTCCCCCACTCACCGATTACGAATCAATTTCCTACGCAGAAGCAGCTCAGCGTTGTCCTCATCCCCTCATCAACCCCTATTTAAGAGAGAACTCATTTTCCCCAATACTACACCATTCTTTCTGGCAAATTAGTTCATTAGAATCCTAAGAGCGAGGAGAGTAAACTGTTGGTTGCCACCGAAGTCGCCGGAGTTGGGAGTAATCGTCGCCGGAAGTTTTGCTGTAAAATACCCAAAACCTTTGTTAAACTTCGAGGTAAGCCCGTTGATATATCTAATGACTAGAATGTTCGTATAGATCGTTTCTACATTCATAAACGGTTGTTTGGTTGAGTTTTGTGTTTGACATGCTTGAAGAACCAAGAATCATAAACCTTGAATTTGATGTTAAAAATATGAACTAATGATACCAAAATGATCTATCAACCTTGAAGAACATTTCTATACAGTTAATTGAAGTTTGGGGAACTAAAAATGAAATTTCCGAAACCAGACCAGAGGATGAAGACGATGAACAGTGCATGGTAGAGCCCTACCGCCGGTACGGTAGATAGGTATCGTCCAAACGGTACCCACCTACTGCCGGAACGGTAGGATACTGCCGTCTCCATTCGAGCTTCCTGGCGGTACCTGCCAACCGACGGTGCCCCCCTACCGCCGGCACGGTACCGAGGTACCGTGAGCCGGTACCGAGGTACCGTGAAGGGTACCGTCTAATCCGATTGTTTTCCAGAAAATTCTGATTTTTGAACCACAAAACCCTATTTTTGATACCAATTGATTACAATTATTATAAAATTGATTTTTCATATTAAAAATAATGTTTTTAGTAATTAAAACATTATGTGTTGCATGACGGTAAGTTCGGGTGTTAACACTCGAAGCTATGCCGCTATTTGTTATCAATTGTTATGATAATTGATGATTATGATAAATGAATATTATGGATGATTATGAGTAATGAACCCACTGATTAAAATAAGTATTATTTGTAACGCCCCGAAATTAGGCCTAAAAGAATTAATTAATTTAAATATTAATTAATGACTGAGACAGACCCGAACACTGATAAAATTAAAGTTTTCAGAAAAATATTTTAATTATATCAAAATTTTAGTTTTGACAGTCTGATTCCAAAAACGCGATCTGTTTTCAATTTGGAACAGTTTGAGCAAAAAAGCGCGTACCGTTCCAGTCAGTTTATCAGTTACGGAGTAGGAGAATATTTTTAAATCTCCAAACTTTCTCAATCACGCAGCCCATATCTTCAATATCTTCAATTTCTTCAATCAAGCAAATTCCACTAACCTAATGCATCCAAAAATGGGGTGTATTAATTAACCCTTTTTCCCCACTTTGTCAAACCTCCACCTCACAACACTCTCAACTCTCCCTTCACCCTCTCTCTCTGTCGGCCAGTCATAAGGAAGGAGAAGAAAGGACTCCAGCTCCATTGTTGAGTCAAGGGAA